TACATTATCTGTCCATTTCATATGCAATTTATCTTTTAGAAAAGATGCACAGAGATTTTTGTGTAGCTTGCTTATGTTCTCATTTTGTGGATTTCGTATTTTTCCCAGGACAGAGGTAAAAACAAACAAACAAACAACAACAACTCATTAACTATATGGTGAGGACATGACTTACATGACTTCGCCATGCTGGTCCACAGCTGGTTGGTCTGGAGGCAGAGTACCTGACCCCTGCTGACCCAATCAGTCTTTTCCTGAGATTTTTCCACCTGGAACGGAGAGAGCTTGACATGAGTCCTCTTTAGCAGCAGAAGCAATAGAATAAGCTGCAAGCCATTAGCAGTCAGTGGCCATCGTTTCTTCAGCCTTAACCAGGAAATGGGCACTCAGTCAAGGATTTCTTATAACATTTCCTCAGAGTAAATACTCATCAAATATTGTTGAATAGTGTGTCCCTCTTCTGAAAAATAATATAAAAGTGAAGGACCTAGTACTTAGGAAAAAATGGTGCTTTTTTGTAATTCAGAAATAACTATATTATTTCTGTTTCTGTTGCTGAAACATACGGTCTTTAGCAACTTGAGTTTGGATACTGGCATTGCCATTGGGTAGGTGGGAGGCCTCTGTCAAGGATGTCATTAGACTCTTGAGCCTCAGTTTTTCTCATCCATAAAATGGAAATTAAAATATCTACTTTGTAGTATAATTAGATGATTAAGTCAATGATGTTGTAAGTGACCATCATGAGTGCCTAGCGTATTGTGGGTGGGATGGTTAATTTTAGGTATCCAACTTGCCTGGATTAAGGGATACCTAGAGAACTGGTAAAACATTATTGTAGGTATGTCCATGAGGGTATTTCCAGAGGAGACTGGAGTGTGAGTGGGTGGACTCAGCGGAAAGATCTGCCCTCAATGTGGGTGGATGCCATCCAGTTGGCTGGGGGCCTAGATAGATTTAAAAAAGTAGGGAAAAAGTGATTTTTTTTTTTTTTTCTTGAGGTTGGGCCCTTTTTTTTTCTTGCTTTTGGCCTTCGGATTCCCGGGTTTTTTGGCTTTTGGCTTCCGGGCGTTCCCCCGGTGGCCCCCCAGGTTCTCAGGCCTTTGGCCTCAGACTGAGAATTATATCATCAGCATCCTCAGTTCTAAGGCTTTCGGATCTGGGCTGGGCCACGCTACCAGCATCCCAGGGTCTCCAGCTTGCAGGTGGCCTGTCATGGGACTTGTCAGCCTCCCTAATCACACACGCCAATTCCTCTAGTAAATTGTCTCCCACATATCTATGCCCACGTGCGTGCATATGTGAGCATACACACACGTGTATATCCTATTGTTTCTGTCTCTCTGGAGAACCCTAATACAGGGGGCATTAAAGTGGGCATTATTATCCAATTCACTATATAATCGCTTATCTCTAATTTTCAATTGCCTTGTATAATGACTGTCTATCCTTTCTTTTATGATTTTCTTTTTACCATTTGATGTATATGATTATTGCGCTTTTGGTGACACAGGGCAGCTACCCTGGCATTTTTTGACTTTATAAAGAAGCACAAGTGAGAAAAAGGCAGAAAAGGGATAATAATTCTACACTGAATTATTCATTTATTCATAGAAAGTAACCACTATAAATAGCATGTAACCCTAGAAAAGCATGAGGTTTTCAAACCAAATTATGTATTGCAATGCCTTTCAGCCAAAGATCAGCAGGGACACATCTGTTGGGTTTGTTGCTTGTCATGGGGAAGGAAACTGTACACCATGGGGAGCTACAGAGAACCCTCTCAGGAAGAGGGAGCTAAAAAGGATGTACTGGGCTTGCATTAGGTGATTTGTGGAGGGTAAAGGAAACAGGGCTTTTGTCTGGATTGGACGCTTTCAGGAAGAGGGAGTAGTTTCTATGACTGGGCATCTTAATAAATCTTATCTAGAAAAAAGGGAGGCTAAGGTTATAATTGGTAAAGAGGTGGCAGTCACACCGATTAGCAAGAAGAGGGTGATGTTTTGTTATTTTCTTGGTTTGGACAATGTTTGTATCTTTTTCTGTGTTCAAACATGACACAGCGTGATCTTGTTTGTGTCTTGATCCATTGTGGTCAATAGAGTGGCCTTGCTTATGCTGACATTCTGAGAAATTGTTTATGTTCAGCAGAACACCATGGCCTATCTCTAAGTGCCAAGCTAGTTCCTAACAACAGTGAGACCTGGCTATGGGTGCCAGGCCCATTTACAGATGCCAGGCTGCTTTTCTCACTCTTATGTATGAGCATGCTCTGTGATAGAATTTAGGTGCAGATAACAGGTAATACTCTATTTAGTGAGAACATGATTTAATACAGAGAATTAGGTGCTTACAAAATTGTTAGAAGGACTGAAATAATGGCTCTGGGCTTGGAATCCAGGAACAATTCCAAGAACTACCCCATAGGGCTAGTCCTCCAGTGTGGCTGCTAACTCTTCATTCCCCACCTTCCTGATTGTGGCAATCACCTGTGAAATTGTTGGCTCGAGGAACACATCAGCTAACTTGCTCTTGAGAGATCAGGAAACCACTGCTGCAACTATTACCCTTAAAGCTACATGACACCTGCCAGGTCCATACTAACTCCTCTGAGTCCTGCCTCTTGCCTTTCATCATGCTATTGACCAGAGCACTGGGACCTCTGCTACCTGTGTCTCAGATTAATCCAATGTTGCTGTGGCCTCCTTTGCCAATGATAGCAGTACAAATTGCAGCCACCCATTTGTTATATCACTTCCAATTTCAAGATATCACATCAGCAGTCTGATTGCCTGAACCTAAATCATATCCAAATCTCTAGCTGCAAGGGAGTCTGGGCATCACAGTGCTTGGGTTCTCCAGCCTCTCCAGCAGGAAGATGAACTATAGGGAGACTGGAATGGATGTTGATTTCCAGGCCAGCTTGTTCACCACAAGCCCTAACCAGGAGTAAAGAGGCCTGGATCTAAGCCTGATTCAGTCACTAATTTGCTATTTACTAAGTTTCTTTCTGATTCTAGAGTTCTATGACTCTATTATTAATTTTGTTCATATTTTCTTAAATATATTCATTTTGAAAAGCATTTCCGTACTTTTTTACATAAGAATTTTATTGTCATGAATACTCAGAGTAAGAATAGAAAGGCTCTAAGATGCCCTCAATGATTTTTACCTCCCAGAATTGTCACTCTCCCACATTGAATAGGGATGACCTGTGAAACCAATAGGATATTGTATACATGACAGCATGTGGCACCCAAGACTAGGTCATTAAAAAAAAAAATTGCAGCCTCTATCTTTGCTGTCTTTTGGATAACTGACTCTGGGTGAAGCCAGCTGTCTTGTCATGAGGACACTCAAGCAGCACGGTGGGGAGGTCCATGTGGGGAGGACTGAGGCCTCCTGTCAACAGCCACCATCCAGGTGCCAGCCATAAGAACAAGCCACGTTGGACATGTATGTTCCAGCCCCAATCAAGCCTTCAGATGACTCTACCCCTGGCTGACATCTTGACTGCAACCTCATGTGACACTTTGAGCCAGACCTACCCATCTAAGCCACTCTCGAATTCCTGACCCACAGAAACTGTGTAAGATCATAAATACTTAATGCTGTTTGAAGTCACTAAGTTCTGGAGTAAATTATTATGCAGCAACAGAAAACTAATACATTTCTGATTAGTATGTAAAATAGCATGAAAATTGCTGAATTTTATCTCCTAATCTCTAGCCTCAAATTTCCTTTGCTTATCCTTTTCTGACATAAAGCTGGTAGCCTTTGAGATTGTATCTCTAGACATATCAGAACCCATCAAAAAGTGCATAAATCAGAATTAAAATTAAGTTGTTATTTTCTGAGATTAAAAAAAAATGTGGTAGTGGGCAGACAGGAAAAATCCCTATTGTTAATGCTGTAAATAGCAACTATTTTCTTAGGCAAAATGTCAGGCATTTGAAACGTATCACAGGGCTACTATATCCTTTGAAAATAAAGCTAATGAAAACATAATAAATAGTCAAAACAACTCTTTCACTGACATACCAATCAATTCTGTGAAATGACTTTTATTTTAATGCAGGAACTATGCTGGGTTTATAGGTCAATAAACATTCCCATATGTTAATGAAAGATAAAAGTTGTCTGTTAATGAATTATTTGTGGTTTTAATCTAAAAGATAAAGACATTAATTTCTTTCATTTTATGATGGCTTAAAGTTTGATCTAAGAAAGAATGTTCCAACAAAACTTACTTAATTTTTATTAAGACTCTTTTCTAGATCCTGTGACCATGTCTGGTAAGAACCTAGTTGCTTACTTAGAGTAGCAATCTTTTGCTTATTATGAAAAATAAGAGTGCATGGGTTTTAGAAAATATATCAAGTAGAAGTATGAGCTGCAAGCGCCACAAACTTTATATGAATCGGCTTGAGAAAAAAAAAAAAATTACCAGATGGTCACTGCAGTGTTTTGGAATTCAAGTCATAGCCAAGTTCAGAGAGAGCTGAGGCCTCAGGCACCATCAGAGCCAGGGCTGGAAAGCCCCTCTTCTCCCCTAGTCTTGCCTCTGCTTCTCGGGGTGCCAGCTTCGTCTTCCGGCAGATTGGCTTCTTTTTTGTTGTAGGAAACATGGCTGTTGGCAGTCCTGAGTTTTACATTTTTCAGCTTTAGTCTCTGGAGACTTGTTCTCTGCTCTTAAATGCCAATTTCTAATGAACTCCAGCCAGGGGGCAGGGCCATGTTGTTCAACATGGCTGCTCCTGTGGTGGCTGAGGAGGGAGGGAGATTTCCCAGAGAAACAGCGGGCTGGGAAGACAAAACAGTATGTACCATATATTAGGTTTCTAGCGCTGCTGTAATGAAGAACCACAAACTGGGTGGCTTAAACATCAGGAATTTATCTTACAGTTCTGGAGGTTAGAAGTCCCAGGTCAAGGTGTTGACAGGGTTGGTTCCTTCTGAGGGCTCTGAGAGAGAATCTCTTCCAGGCCTTTCTCCTAACTTCTGGTAGTTCGTTAGCAATCTCTGGCTTTCCTTTGCTTGTAGAAGCATCACCTGCATCTCTGCCTTCATCTTCACATGGTGTGTAAATCTGTGTCCAGATTTCCCTCTCTTACAAAAACACTAGTTGCGTTAGGACCCACCATACTCCAACATGTCGTCATCTTAACTGAGCTAATTATATCTTCAACAGCACTGTTCCCAAGTAGGGTCACATTCTGAGGCACTGGGGACTAGGAGCTCAACATATAAATTGGGGGGGGGGGTCTATTCAACCCATAGGTTTGGTTCAGGGAAGCACTTCATACACAGGATATCAGAGATCAAAGGATGGAAGTGAGAAGCGAGGGCAAAGAGCCATGAACTTGGAATTAGAATCCCTTCATCTCTCATCTTCCAAGAGAGAAAAATAAGTAACAAAACCTGCATCCAGAGAAAGAAATGGGAAATTTTTTGTGGTGACAGAGGTAAGAAAACCATCAGACACGCAGGGATATGAGCTACCGCGGAACACCATAGTCGCTACAGTGGCTGACTGGACATGTCAACCTGTGTGGACTGTTCCATGTTTTTTCCTCCTGCTCACTTTCCATTTGGTGGACTCTTTTTGCCTGGGGTAGACTCTCTGCTGGTGTTCATGGGAACCAGCAGAACAAACAGCCTAGCTTCTTGGGCCTTGCAGAGAACCTGAACAAGAGAGGGGAGTAGAGAGAGTTTGGAGTGAGGCAGAAGCCAGGCGCAGCACCAGGGGGCTTGCGGTTTGGTGTTCAAGAGTGACAGTGACCCTCTACATCATTTCCTGGCTGGGCCCCTTGAGAGATGAAGCCCTGAAGATGCCCCGACACACTCAGCCTTGGGAGGGAAGCAGAGATAGTACTTCTGGGGACTGAGATGGCAGAGGAGACCGTCAGGATCCCTGGAGCCTCGTGTCCCATTGCTCTGCCCATCCCAAGGGAACGGGGGCTGTGGGTGGGGGGTGTTTCTGCTGCAGCAGCACAAGCCACGGGGACACAGGGGCCTCCTGTGAACCCAGGGCTATCCCAAGGCAGGGGAGGGGCAGAATCTTTCATTGATCAAGGGTTTTTTGGTTTTTTTTTTCTGTTTTGTTTTTTGTTTTTGTTGTTTTTGAGTCAGGGTCTTGCTCTCTTGCTTAGGCTAGAGTACAGTGGCATCATCATAGCTCACAGCAACCTCAAACTCCTGGGCTCAAGCAAATCTCCTGCCTCAGCCTCCAAATAGCTGGGATTATAGGCACAGGTCACCACATCTGTCAAATATTTCTATTTTTTGTAGAAAAATAGGAGTCTCACTATTGCTCAAGCAATCTTCCCATCTCAGCCTCCCAGAGTGCCAGGATTACAGGCGTGAGCCACTGTGCCTGGCCTCATTGATCGAGCTTCTAATCAGAAGAAGCTAATAATGTACATAATTAAGCTAACTTTGGTAACTGAAATTACCGTAAATTGACAGGAGCAAGATTTCCACTGTTAAAGTCAGAAATCAGAATCAGAGATCTGATTGGTTATAAAACTCAATGTTAAAGTTGAGTGTGTAAATAATAAAATCTTATTCTGTCTGTTATGCTTTCATTTATTTAGCTGTGGAATAGGTGCACATACATTTGATTTGCACAATAAATCAGAGGATTGTACTATTATTATTTCCATTTTACAGATAAGAAGACTAATGCTTATTGAAGTTGAAGATCTTGGACTCAAAAACCAAGTCTTGAGTGAAGGGTATGGTATGTGAATTATATCTCAATAAAACTGATACAAAGCAAAAAAATAAAGAAACAAGTCTGCTTGATAATAAAGTCTATATATCATTTACCATAGAAAATGTCGTATTTAGGTTGGGCTATTGCTGGTAGAGAGAAATGGGTTATTTCAGGTTGCATTTTTTTTTTTTCTTTTTAAGTGTATGTGATGTATCCCAAGGCAAAGATTCATTAATTTTGTTTTTTTTGCTTTGTTTTGTCTTTTAAAAATGTTCTAAGGCCAGGGCCTGACAAGACAAACTGATAAAGTTCCATCTTTGTGTCTTCATGAGCCAAATCAGTCTTCCTTGGAGAGTTAATGTTGTCCCCTCAAAGCACAGAGGCCAGACAGAAGCCTGCTTTGCTTAAGAGGGGAAAGGGGAGATTCACTGTCTTTCTGGACATTAACTTAGATCCAGCATTTTTCAAAACTATGTTTTGTATGGTTTTGATAAAATCTTAATTTTAATCCCTTACTTGAAGGCACTGGTACTTCTTTGAAGAGGGAATCACCAAGTACACTGGAAGAATTCATACTGTTTTTATATATCCCTACAAGCAAAGTGAATTGTCAGATTATAAGATTTACGAAAAAATATTCATACCATTTTTTTTGAAAGTCTCTTCTAAGTTCACAAGCACGATGATCCCTTTGTTTTGTAATTTATGGTAATAGATTCGAGTTGTATCTCATTTTATAACATATTCTCATAGAAAAATGACTTGGGATGTCAAAATGGATATGTATTGAGATGACGAGTGTAAAAGCCTTTCAAGAGTTTGGTTCACAAGCCACAAGAGGAATGAAGGGGCCATTTCAAAGTCCTTTAATTATCTCAGATGATGTGATAAGGAAAATAATATGCTAACTGCCAAATCAAAATCATACGTTGGGATGAAGTCAGTTACATACACAATAGATTCCTTTCTCTTGAAAGCCACGGTCTGGACACATTTCAGTCACTTTCTTCTTTAGGCACAAGCAGTGAAGCACAGAGAAACCATGAGGTCTGCAGTTCTGCGTGGGGCACTTTCAAAATGCTGACTTGCTGCCATGGAAGGGCGCCCAGGGTACGGAGCAAAGTGAAAAATGCAAGTTGCACAACAATGTGTGCAGTGTGAAGCCATTCGCAAGGGGAAAACAGATATGATAAGATGTATTATGACTTGGTATAATACTATACTATACGATGCTGTGTAGAAAGACAATTCTGAAAAGACCCCAAAGAAGCAGTGAATCATCATTTCTTTTGGGAAGAATAAATTGGGGATGATGGTATCTTTTACATATTATGTTGAAAAAGATTCTATGTCAGAGATATTAGGAATACTAAACTGAACGAGTAAATAAAATAAAAAGAAAACAAAAATATTAAGTTGCCATATCGTAAAGAACAGCAGGCCAAGTGTGCTGGGTTTGGCCAGTGGAAACAGATCCCTGCACCCTTCACTAGCCCACCCCCAGCAGTTAGCTGACCACCCTGTGTCTGCACAACCTCCTGTACCGGCTGATCTCTTGCAATCCTTTGTACTACACTGAGCTGCCAGGAGCTTAGAGCATGTTGCAGGGGTGTGGCTGAGACTTCTGGGGGTCCCCACAACATCTCTTCTACTTTTCTGACCTTATAATGACAGCCCATCTGAAACACTACTATGAAGAAGACCACGAGTGCAGGAATGCAGGCAGCATCTAAAAGTAGTAAATGGCAAGGAAATGGGTTCTTCCTGGAGCCTTCAGAAGGAATGCAGCCCTGGTGGCAACCTGATTTTAGCCCAGGGAGACCCGTGTTGGACTTCTGGCCACTGGAGCTATGAGATAATACATCTGTGGTGTTGTTTTAAGTCATCAAGTTTCTGGTAATTTGTTATAGCAGCAGGAAACTAATAAAAGGTCTTAATTATAATCTGTCATAGGGAGAGAACTTCTTCGTGTACTAACTATGCAGTCTTCAATCACTCTTTACCATATTATCTTGTTTTATCCTCTTCATAGACTTTATCAGAACCTGAAAAACTTTTAGACAATAAGCATATTTTTAAAAAGTTTCCTTCCATTAGAATGTGAGCTCCTTAGGGACAGCAGGTACCCTGTGTTGCTCACCTCTGCAGCCTAGTACCTGGGGTAACATTTGTCACATGTAGATCCTCATGAAAACAGTCATGCTCCTCCCTTGACAGTTCTTCTTCCTCCTTCTCTTCTTTTTCAGAATATATCTGTGGGGAGAAAAAAAATATTTTCATTTTAAATGTTTGTTTTTATTGCAAAAAAGCCCATTTGGAGCCACTTCTAGACGTTGGGTGGGGTAAGAATCCTCTTGATCTTCTCTCCTCCCCTGCTCACTTTCCTCCCCAAGGCTGGGAATGAGTCAGGCCCAGCAAGTTATTCCAGAATTCCATCAGACTGTTCAAGCCAAGAAGGAGGCTGAAATTCCAAGATTTGGATTTCTGGTAAATTTCCTAAGGGGTACAACTCAGGCCTGAGCTTGATGCATTTCCTGATATGATATTATCGTTCATTTGTGACTTATTGGAAATCCTCCATGAGCACATACTGCAGAAGAGATTGGAGTGTGGGGATGGGGATATTTGTCAGATGCCCATGCTTGGTACACAGAGTCCTACTCTCCTTGGCCACTGTGGACTTTGGCCTCATCTCTGCCCACTCACTCTCCTCCATGAGGGTTACATTCCAGCCTCACTGGAATCCTTGCTGCTTCCTTGAAACATGGTGCTTTCATGCCTTGTGTCTTCCTCGGCCTGCTTCTGAGCCTGGAAGGGCTATCTCCTCCCTGTCCCCATGGTGAACTTGTCATCTTCCTTCAGAGAACCATTCTCTTTTATTCCCCTCTGTGTCTACATTTATTAAGAGCTATAGCAGGTACGTCTTCATGGTCGTCTGTCTAAAGGCAGGAACGCTGTCTTGTGCCCTCTTGAATCCCTAATGCCTAGCACAGGGATGACATGGTCAGTTGGTGGGTGAAGGAATCTCTGTCTTGCATTAGACTTGACCAAGACCATGCATTATTCACTTCTGAATCTCAGAATCATGAGTGGCCTGGGGTGGCACTGAATATATGCTTAATGACTAGACTTGAATTAAATGGCATGGATGATAGACAGTGCTTGCTATCCCTGAGTGATATTTTAATCTTACAAGATTTTTAGCTTGGCACTTAGCTGTCTAGAACATTTCTCAGCTTTATAGCTAGGTGTGGCCATATGACAAGGTTATGGCCAATTAAAATGCAAGCAGAAGTATCCCATGGCAGCTTCTAGAAACCTTTGCTATGAGATGGGTGGAATGTGGGTGAGTAACAGTGAG